TTGAAATAAAGGTGCATCAGAAACATTTGAGACTCGTCCTCAAATGGAATAATGCCCAGCTTCAAGCCATCTGATTTAAAGTAATCCAGGACTGCTTGTGCTCTTTGCTACCATAAATCCTCTCCAGTAGAGAAGAACGTCACCCAGAATCTTTAATTACCTCAACAATGTTTTATGTATAATGTCTGACATTCAATAAAAAATAACCAGATATACAAGAGAGCAAGATGTGACTGAAAAACAAGAAATGGCAGATAATAGAAACAGATCCATAGGGATCCCATTAATGCAGTTATCAGACATAAACTTTAAGAAACCTGTGCTTAAGTTATGCAATAAAATAAAAGGCAAAGTTGTGAATCTCATCAAAGAACTAGAAACTCTAAAAATGAACCATATGAAAATTCAATAACTGAAAAATAAAATAACTAAAAATGAGAGCTCAGTGAATGGGCTTAACAACATATTAGACACAGCTATAGAGAGAACTGGTGAACTGAAAGATAAATCAGACTGAAAAAAATGGAAAACATAGAAAAATACATGACAGACAAAATAGGGGATGTGGTGAAAAGCTCTAACAAAATGTGTAACCAGGCAGGGAAGGTGTAGCTCAGTGATAGAGTGCATGCTTAGTATGCACAAGGTCCTGGGTTCAATCCCCAGTACCTCCATGTAAAAACAAACAAAAATAATAAAAATGTGTAACTGGAGTCCCAGAAGGAGAGGAGACAGAAATGGGGCAGAAGAAATATTCAAGAAGCACTCTAAACAGGATAAATACAAAGAGAATGATATTTAGGTATTACAGCAAAACTACTGAAAACCATGACCAAAAAAAAAAAAACCAACCCCCAAACCCTTACATTCAAAGGAACAAGAAGATGGCTTATAGCGACTTCCCAACACTGTAACTACTATAGAAGCCTAAAGACAATGGAATGATATCTTTAAAGTGCCAAGGAGAAAAAAAACAAAAACAAAAACAAAAAACCTACTGACACAGAATTCTCTACCCATCAAAGCTATCATTCAAAAATGAAGATGAAATAAAAACAATTTCAGACCATCAAAGACTAATAAAATTTATCCCTAACAGAGTCACACTAAAGGAAATGCTAAGGGATGTTCTTCAAGCAGTATATAAATGATCTGAGATGGAAGCTTGGAGATATGAGGAGAAACAAAAAGCAACAAAACACTCAGTATTTGGATAAATTTAAAATGAACAACTGAACATAACAATAATGTTATAATGTCCTGTCAATGTTAAAATATATATAGAATGAAAACTCATGTCAATAGTTCTGTAAGTTAGGGATTGGTGGAAAATGGGGTTCAAGGGTTATAAGAACTTTGCATTGTCCAGGAAGAGGTAAAGTACTCTTGGATTAGATTAAGAGTAGATTTCAATAAGCCAAGAATGCATTATAATTTCTAGGAACACTTCTCAACCAGAGAATTAAGCTCTAATGTCATAAGGCATTCACTATGTAATGAGTTAACTTCTCTTCTATGCATTTAGAATGGTGCTATCAACTATCCTCCAGATAACTGAGGCAACAGTCACTCAAATCCCTTTCTGCAGGGCTTAGTTCTCTCACAAAAACAAGAAAGGCTGGTAGGGTAATCACTAACAGAGTAATACTAAGTATATAACTAATAAATTAACAAAGAAGGGAAATGGAGTAACAAACGCAATCAACCCAGAGGAAAACAAAAAAGGGGAAAAATGAAGAAAGAAAAGGCAGGATGGGATAAATAGAAAGCAAACAGAAGATAGCAGATTTAAGCCAAAGTATATCAGTAATTATATTAAATGTGAACTGTATCAATCCTCAAGTGAGAAAACAAAGGTTGTTAGAACAGATAACAAGAAACCCCAATTATATGCCACTTGAAAGATACACCTTAGATAGAAGGATACAGAAAGGCTGAAAGTAAAAAGATGGAAAAGATAAACATCCCATCCTCCTCCCACCCACACTAACCAGAAGAATGCTAAATATATGACAAAGCAGACTTTAAAAGGCAAAAAAATTACTAGATAAAAAGAAACATTTCATGATAAAGTGTCTAATCCAGTTCTAAATGAGTATGCAACTAATAAAATTGCATCAAAAATATAAAACAAATAGTGACAGAACTAAGAAGAAATAGAAAAAAGCTCAATCTAAGAGAGATTTCAACATACATGTTTGTACTGATAGAATAAGCAAACATTTCTACATCCCAGTGCCTAGCACAGGGCCTGACCCATATTAGAGGCCCAATCAAAATTTGCTGACCTAAAATAAGAGATTCATACATCCTAGATTTTCCTAAACAGTACCAACTTTCAAGTATAAAGCTGTCTCTCTGTTCCCCATAAGTACATTTGCTCAAAAGGTTCATTTGGAAATACAAATAATATCCCTATGGGTCACCTAAATCCCCTCCCACACGGCCACATTCTCCTTTTTCCCCGTACAGTATTAGGTCCCCAGGGGCACCCAGGTACTGGAGGTGTTTGCATGGAGCGTCTCTCATACCTGAGCTGGGGCATCAGTACCGGGGATACGGATGGACCGCCTGCGGGTGACGATGACTGACGGCTTGTGTTCAGTGGGGTTCTGTTCAGGACCCTTTCCATCCTCATCAACACCTCCAGCTTGGGCCGCCTCGGTTGGGTCCACAGCCCGCACAGGCACAGACACTGGGATGATGAGGGGCACCATCCCGCTGTCCTCCCGTGCTCGCTTGGCAGCTAAGGAGGGCTCAGAAAACTCCACCCCACACTTGGTAGTTGAAGCCAGTACACTTTTCCGCTTCTCTTCAGAGCCATTGGCATCCTAGAGAAGGAGGGAGGGGGAAATGAGGAGAGTTAGAAGGTAAGTCCTGATTTGCTGGTCTGGGACCCTTAGTCACATTTGATTCAGGGATTCAAACACTCATGATGGTTCCCAATGGTCTTTGGTAACCTTGCCTTTCCCTGGCTACCTTTTCCCCTACCATATTCCTAAATACTCTCCAAAACCTCCCTTCTGCCAGGTTCTCCCATCCTGGCCTGGAGCAGGAGTCCCCAGATGGCCATCTCAGGCCACAAGTGGCTTTAGAGATGTTTTTTATTTTGCCTACACAGGGAGAGGCATGTGAAATAGTATCTCAATAGTCAAAACATATCTCTGCAAAAGAAAGTAAGCAAGGAACCTGTGGCAAGGTAAGGGTGGTCTCTGTATCTATTTCCCCACTGGCAACTGGCTGGCATGAAGTCAAATTCTGCAGCTTCCTATGTATCAGCCTGGCCCAGTGGGCTTTGAGGGTTGAGACCTCTAGTGAAGGAAGGGGCAAACACTGCCTTTGGAGTCAGATACTAGGCTTCTATCTTACCCCTGTGACCTTGGGAAATCCCAACTTGGTCTCAGCTTCTTTAGCAATAAAATAGGACAAATGACAGCATCCTTCTCATA